AATGACATTACTAATTATTTTTTGGGTATTTGGGACTTTTTTCGGTATATAGGTCTTACTGCCGCCCTAGCAAAAAATCCTGCGTACGGCCCTGCACTGCATAGATGCAGACTTGCCAACCCTTGAGTAGCAGAAATAGTGAGTTGCTATCTAAAAAGTCCGGCGTTAGATTGACTGAAAAAATCGTGAGACTTAGAAATTTTCAGGTTTGCTCATTAATATGACCAGGGTTAACTTTAACAACACTAGAAAATAATCAATAGATATTCAATTTTATGATAGTATGCATTTATGTTTTGTTAATATAACCGTAAATGCAAGGCTTATTAAAAATAGGCTGTTTTTTCTTTATGGCTTTAGTAGTTTCCACTGTACAAAAACAAGAAAACTACGAGTAATATTAGGACTAACAGGACAATAAACTTAGCAGGATACGCCTTTTACTTTGTAACTCAAACATCACGCATACAAAATTCTGGCGTTGTACATTGCGCATTCAGAGGCGCATTATTAATACACTAATAAAGTGTGATGTTTCCTTGGAAGAGTGTGCCTTATTGTAACTAGATGTAGCGCTCTTCGATGATTTCATAAGTTCCGAAAGTCGTGAGATTTGCATGGGGACTTAATCGTGAGATCGTGAGAAAGCATAAAAAATCGTGAGTCTCACGATAAATCGTGAGACTTGGCAGATCTGTAGATGGTAGACTTCTAAAATCAACACAGTCAATCAGTTCAGTTTGAAAATCATAGTACGATGCTGTATTCATTTAGTAATTAGTTATTCGCTACGTCGTGGAAATACAGTTTTTGCAAAGGATAGACAGTCGTCTGTTGATATATTGTAAATGGAGTCCACAGTTGTGATTAGACTTTGGAATATGAACAACTCAGAATTAAAATTATTGGATTACGGATTAAGCTCAATTAATCACGTGGCAATTGACAATAGAAAATATATACGATGACATTCTCTGATCAACATCAGTCAACATGTATCAAGTTCATTATGTCTGCCCACGCATGAAACCATTTAATTGGATAGTTTAATGTTACCGTGCATGGGTTCAAATATCAGAATGTTTGCCGTCGCCTGTCTGTGGCCAGACTGGTCGTTACCTTTGGCGAATTCGTGTTGGCGGTGCAGGAGAAAGACTACAAATTCAGAGATCTAGAGACTAGAGAGAGCTATGGTGTGTGCATTGATAATTATGCGACTAACAGCAACAGGTAAAGCCATGCATAGTCCTATTTGTCGCTCCCCCCAAAGGGAGTTAAGTTTAGGAAGATTTAATTTGTGTAATTATGAAATATAATATTTATTAAATACTCATGTGGGCCGATGTGGCAAAATGCGCGCAATTTGCTAAAGTAATGCTATGCGCAATGCTAAAGTAATGGGACAACTGTAAATCATTTTCGGCTTGCGCCGATAGTATATACCGCACTCACAGTGCAATGCGTGTACACGTTTTGCGAGCTTCATGGTCATAGTATGATATTAGCTCTATATTATTAATATTACAGAGTCTCAATAACATAGCCTCTAGTTTAGCCCTTTACTACCGACATGACCGCTTGGCCCTGAATTTAATATACAGGTATACAGAAGCGTTGCCCTTAAAACTTGAATTGCGCTGATTTTATACCGAATTTCATTAGTTGTGCAGTATACGTAGTACACTGAGTGGGGGCGGTACACTGGTTTTGTTTTTTTTTGGCGGGGGAGGCGGGGCGGGAAGGCCATGCAATAAATTACGTTCGCAGGCGCGGTGCTACAATAAATATCCCAATTTTGTCGTTAGTAAACGTTCTTCGACTTAGTCTTTTGACTGATCAAGTGATCAACACGTCGACGCAATATTCATATTTATTTATTTATTTGTTTATTTATTTATTTACCCAAAAAGGTAAACTGCCAAAGTAAAAAGAAAAAAGTCTTCTATTCAAATAGACTATTCATAGTGCTCTGATTCTCTAAATGATATGCGGCGAATATTGAATATGCGAAAATAGCCAACATTAATGTAAATTAACCCATTGCGCCGCAAAGCGCGCCAGTGCGTCCTGCCTATTTTTGTGGCTAGCCCGTTTGCGGGCTAGCCATTATCACATAGTGCACACTGAAACGCGATGAGCGATGATGATCATGGTGTCCAGTCCGGATTTTCGTAAAGTATCGGGAGCAATCGGAAGCGCCCGTATTTTTCTGCCGACATTTCACATTTGCATTTCGAGGCAATACTAGTGATGTTGTTAGTTTGTTACGACGCAGTACTGGTTAGGTTGTTAAACCAGAAAATTAAAATAAAGTTTATCTTCATGGCTTCAACCTATGGTGTCGAAACCGATCAGAAATTGCGCGTACTTGCCGTGTAAATATGGGTTTTGATTTGCACTTTTGACTGATTTGCGGGCCATTTGCCATCTTGAATTGTCTTCTTGTTGAGATTTCATATCTCAATTGGATTCGAAATGTTTGGTATTTTAAAGAAGGGATATTGTTTGGAGGAGGTACGTTTATAATGCAGCGAATAAAACCAGCATTGGATAATTATGGTAAAAGACCAGAAACTGTACATCGAACTCGTTTATTTAACGACTAATTTAAAGGCTTTAAGTATAACTTTTCTTCAGACATTGACGGCGTCTCAAATTTGTAATAAACCTATAAAGGATTATTGCGTCTGTCTGTCTTAGGAATTATATAGTGGAATAATTCAGCATGATTTGTCTCACGTTCTCTTATAAGTTGACTAATATTGCATTAAAAGTGGTAAAAGTTGGTGTGCTAACCAAGATTTCAGTGTATTTGTTTGCTAATATTGCTAGGCCTATATCTCAAACGCTTTTTGCCTATTAAAATATCATATGACACGCAATTTTAATTCCACGGCAAAACTCCTGTTGCGCAAATAACAAACGCGAGATTAAATAAATATGGCAGTATTACAGTTTAGTAATATTGCATTAAAAGTGGTAAAAGTTGGTGTGCTAACCAAGATTTCAGTGTATTTGTTTGTTAATGTTGCTATATCTCAAACGCTATTTGCCTATTAAAAATATCATATGACACGTAATTTTAATTCCACGGCAAAACTGCTGCTGCGCAAATAACAAACGCGAGATTAAATATTTATGCAGTATTACAGTTTAGGTATCTTTTAAATTGCTAATAGATCACGCGGAAACTTTTTACAATCGTTATATTCAAAAGCCTAGCGTGCAAATTCACATATTTGTGTTTATTCAAGTGCTATTCATGAATTCGCTATTTACATGGGAAGCGACGAGATATGACACGGTATTTTTTCAAGTGTGCCGTGAAACTCCACTGACAAAATGAGCCTGCACAAGTGGGAGAAAATGTGCGCATTGTGACCATCGTGGTGTGTCTTCTTATTACTATTAAAGTTAACCAGCATGGCAGGCTTTCTGGGTTTGGAGGAGGGTTTGGGGAGTTAAAGTTTACCAGGCTAGCCACATGTACGCATTGCGTACCTATTTTTTTACTTGTCTAACGCCAAACGATTTTACTTGTCAGTGGGGAAGCTCTGCAGCTTAATGGGTTAACCAAAAATAATGAAAAAATTGACGATGTCTCTAGTTAACCCATTGAGCCGCAATGCGCCCCAGTGCGCCCTACTTTTTTTACTTGTCTAACGCCAGACGATTTTACTCGTCAGGGGGGAGCTCTGCAGCTTAATGGGTTAATACTAATATATAAATGAATGCATTACACTGCAGGATGCCTATAAATACCGAGTTTGGCTGATAGTGCTCGCTTCTTGTTGATAGTTTTAAAAGAGTTTGTGCGGTGGAGAGCGGCGCGCCCTTCATTTGTGTGGGTCGAACTCCGTCGCACACCGTCTCAGCCATGCTGTTCCAGCCTGCCTGGGACCGAGCTGAACACCATTTACTTCATTCAATTCCTTATTCTAGCTGAGCAAAGAGCAGAGCACTATGAAATAGGGTAATATTTACAATATTTTTTTATACCGGTAGTATACATGGCAGACAGTAAAACGTTAGATATAACATCAATAAAATTATTAAGAACAGCAGTGGACGAAAGGACTGAGTGAAAATATTGGTTAAATGCTTCAGCTCAATGACTTGAACATCAAAAGTATTCGACGCATTGCGGATTTTTCTGCCGATATTGTACGCAATTTTGAATTGAACAATTTTTGCTGAATTAAGTGAACAAAATTGCTCCTCGTTGCGGATTTTTCAGTTGTTATTGCCCGCAAATTTTAACAATTTTTGCCAAATTGAGTGAAAAAATGAATCCGCATTGCGGATTTATCGGGCATCATAGTTTCCAAAAAGTATTTGTAATTTTTAAAGACAAAAATAATAATTTACTGGTGCCAGCTATAATTTTGTCTCAGAAATCGCTCATTCTGCAAGGAAAAAAATAACACGCATTTTTCGAGAAAAAAGACCTGTTTTTGCATAATAAAAATAAAAATAAAATAAATATTTATTAATAGAGGTTTTGTAATCCAATTAATCCAGTTGTCTCTCTGCAGATTATCAGTTCCTGCAATGCTACTTGGAACGTGTTGTTGGTGAAGGAAAATTGATGGTATCAGCCATTGCCATCTTCGCCCATCTCTTTGTAAACGAGGTGATATATTTAGGAACCATCTTCGAAAACACAATCGAAACAACACCCACCGAACAGGAAGAGGACGAGCACCACAGTGAGGAAGTCCACACACCACAGAGTCCAGACGGACACGCAAGCTTCGACAGACGAAATGAATTCACACATAACCATGCATGCATGACCAACTGTATATTATCTTGTGATGTTGATAATCCTGATACACATTTTGATCAAAATTCAAACACCAACAGTCACCGCTGGCGTTGCGTCAAATGCACCAAAGATTTTGCTTCTATCAAAACTCTCTACAAAACCATACATGCACGATACTATCATGTTTCGCCCGATCACAGTAACCTACGACTCGACTCAAAACAGATGGGGATGCTCTTGTTGTAGAACAAAAGTGAACTGCGTTTATAAAATTAAAATGCGTTCATCAGTGCATTTTAATGCACGTCGAGCGGCCCGAAGTTTACTTTTGAAAGACAATCATCTTGAACAGAGTCGGAGTGAGAATGATGATGAAATTGACGACGGGTTTTATGAAGGTTTCGAAAGTCCACCTGGCACTTCGCAGTCTACTTCTGGCACCAGCTATCCACCTAAACAAGAAACTGCAGTTTTGGTAAAGATGTTCCAGTACTTTTATAGACATAGTGCTAAAAGGATTCCTGTCAATATACCCAGCAATTACGCACGATCTGGACATATATCCGACTTGCCTGGTCCCGACTGAGGAGATCTAGAAGTGCGCATTTTATGAGGAGTCGATCTCAGTGAGGCCATTCAACTCACGCGAAAGGCCGAATATTCGCAACAACGAAAGTTATCGAAGGTTTGTTTTAATCGTTTCAGCCTATACATATTCCTCTGCTACTGCATGTTAGCAGGGTATATACATATAAACTGTAGTGTCGGTATAATGCATCGGAATTAATTTTCCTTTATTGGCTTCAACATCGCGTTTTGCATGGCTGCATGTATTATTTTAACTATTATTTTCCTAATTGAAATGGTGGGAATCGGTATCGAGGAGGTTAGCTTTTATTTTCAAATTTCGGAAAAAACCTTTCCCGGTACGTAAATAAAGTTAGAAGGATCGGAAACGTGAACACAGGAATAAATTCGCTACGTTTTGCCTGCATGCGTTCTACAGGGTACAGTATAACGAAAATGTTTGTAGACCATTACAATTCAAGACCATTCAAATTAGCTACAACCTGTTGAGTATTGTAGTGATCTGACAACCCGAAATGCCACCAATTAATGGTGCATAAAAACACATGGTCTTCTACTGACATGGGAATTTAGGATAATTTGTAATCATATGAGTAAGACCTTTATGTTTTTGTGCGTAATAATTCAAAATGATTATAGCTGTCAAAATTACTACAAAGGCTTCATATGTCTAATTTGCATTTGAAAGGGACAACTTTATATCATTTCATACACCCTGTATTTCACAACTATCTGCAAGTTATTTGCGAACAAATTTCGAGGTATGAATTACATACATTACGTCTAGTTCAACTGCAATCACTGGTAAACTCCACTGACTTTGGTCATGCGTGCCGGTTAAATTAGGGAAATGCCATAGGTATGAATTGCCATAGCAACACGATTAGTTTTACTTTTTAAAAAAATTTATATTCTATTTCTATAAAATTTAATGGCAAAAATAGTTGAAAGTTTAGAACTTTTTACTACACAACAATACATTTCCGAAATATATACTTTAGGTATGCTGTGTTACATTTCATTTAAAATTTAATCTGAAACGCTTCGTAAGATGTTTTGAAATATTCATTCAAGTAAACTGGGTTTTTTTCCGATAAGCTGTAAGTTCAAATTATTGGGCAATTTCAGTTCGGCGTTGAAATTCATTTGCTCTCCTTTGCATTGGAACTGCCCATTGAATCAAGCTCAATATATGTATTTGTTTTATTAATATAGCGTGAAAGTTCAATTTTTCTGTTTTCCGATTGGTCAAAACCGTATCACGTGCCAGTCCACAAAACGTCATGTTCACTTCATGCTTTTTTGGCAAGGGGGCAACGTCCACAATGAAACAGTTATTGGCCGGTCAGAAATAGAATGGGTGCAGTGCGCATGCGCGTCAACCGTGAAGTTCCAAAGTTCATTTTATTAAACATTTACGGCGTTCATTTATCTAGTTTTGGTGACGTCATTGATGACACTTGCTCTGAAGTGTGCAGTATTGAAATTTCCTTAAAATATGTCCTGACAAATAATTCTATATACCATTCTATAATTCTATGTTGCAAAGGTTCTATAGTTCTATGATTCCATGGATCTCTATGGTTATCTGTAGTTCTGTGGTTCTATATAGTTCTATGTTTGAAATGGAGTATATACAATTTTAGAAAAAACTTGCAATTATAACATTTGTCATTGTCATGATATAGTGAACTTGTTGACAAGTCAATAAGAAAGGGATAAAAACTGAGCGTATACATCAGAGGATGTCGCAAAGGCAGTGGTCGTCCATGTTGAATGGAGAAAGTACATCCTATCTCGGGAAGCTCAGGAAACGTTTGCAAATATCCATGCACGATAACTGGGGGATGAATATTTGCAAAACTTATCAACCTGATATCCTTCTAAGTGGTAAGAATTATATTGCAATGATATAAATATGCAGTAGAGATTAGATTTCCTCTATTTTTCTATTTTATAAAAAACAAAATGATACAAATTCATGAGGACAGCCAGTTTCCAATGAATAATAAAAAGTTGAGTTCATTGGTTTACATAACAACAGTTATTATTAGCATGACAAAATTACTGGATGCTGATTGGTTGAGAGGAATACAATTATTTCATTAATTGTACTGCAGTACAATTAATGATTTTCCCAAAACAAACAAAGTGGCGGAAAGGTATTTTAAACACAAATGTGAAATGAAATTGCCACAGAGGAACTAGATGAAAATACGAACAAAAAGCACCAAATTTTGCTTTAACAAAAGAACTAAATGAAAATACGAACAAAAGTACCAATTTTTAGTTGAAAGTCTGGCAGGACTGGACTTTGGCGAGAGATGATGTTGACACAGAAAAGTATCCAATTTTGTCATGCTAATAATAAACAAGTAATCATGCAATATTGCTCGTACAATTAGGGATTAATAGTACTCGTGATGTTTGGAAATTTGCCAAATTGGACTCGCCCCGGTGGCTCGTCCAATTTTAGCGAAATTTCCAAACATCACTCGTACTACTCGTACTTTTTGTACTCGCCATCGCATTATGACCTATACTAACTCAGCAAAGCTATATTTTCTCAAATAGCTATATAACTTGAAATTTAGACTGCTAATTAAAATCTTCATTTATGGAATTACTGGTCTAAGATTGGTATTTCTTTAGAATAATGAATTGTTTGCGTCACAATTCAATTTCACAGGCTTGTTTGCAAGGGGAAACTGTCATGTCATGTCATGTCATAAGGCTGTCTGTTCCTATGCAGATACTATTGGACACATTTGCTGCAGACGAGGCCAATGATGGGCATGAACATGTTGGTGAAGACCTAATGTTGACAGACGTTGAAGCGCCTGCCGAAGACGATGAGCATGAAAACGTCATGTAAATAAGCTCTAATGCTCTACAGGGTGAGTAAAAAAAACCTGATAGCTTCGCGGCTAATTTGAATAACAAAGGTGTCAGTTTTTTTTTTACTCACCCTGTACTTTGTTTCCCATTCCTTAGTTGACGTTTGTTTACGACATGTTTGTGAGTATAAAGTCTGTTTCAGCAGTAATCTGTATTATTTTATTATATAAAATGACATTCAGAATATATTATGCGCGCATGTTCTGTATATCATTATTCGTTTTGAGTCAATAATGCTCTTTCTCTTCCATAAATGAGCCTGGTGAAATTATCTCATCATTTCCAGACTATTTGAACAATTCGGTTTAAAAATGCTTGGATATAAAAGTTTAATAAATCAGGACCGTCTTATGCAACCTTAAAATTAAATCGCATTATTTTATCTCAAACACAACAGTTATTTATATAGGTATAAAATATTTGGGTATCAAGGAAAATATTAAGCCCAAACGCAATGTGAATAAATATGTAGGCTATTATGAATATAATTTTTTATATATGTTCTTACAGGTTTGATGAATGGTAAATCTCCAAACACCCAAGAAAAGGAACCTGACGAAGAATTCGGCATTTCTCCGCCACAATATCCCTTGGTAGTTCCGAAAGGTCATCAGAACCGCACTTCTGACCTGCGAAAATATTGCCTACTTCTCCTTAAAACCAAAATTAAGAAACGAAGCACAGAAACCGCGGCTGCAGTTGGGAAACGCCTTTTTTCATATTTGGCCGAGATGGGTCTTGGAGAAAAACGGCAATATCATATTAGGCGAAACAAATCAACCGTAAGTATATATACATCACATGCACTATTGTAGTAAATAATTTGGTTACATGCGAATCGATATATATATATATATATATATATATATATATATATATATATATATATATATATATATATATATATATATATATATATATATATATATATATCGTTATCGTATATATATAATATATATATATATATATATATATATATATATATAGTTAACATCGCATTGCTGTCTGAAACCCTATAGTCTAGTGGTAAAACAACCGAACCGGCAATCGGGAGACACGGGTTCGATTCCCGTTGGGAGTTCAGATATTTTCTGAATACAAGCTTGAGCAACAATCTTTACTTCACATATATCCAAGCTTACAACATGTACTAGACTTAGTATATGAACACACAAACACAAACACACACACACACACACACACACACATATATATATATATATATATATATATATATATATATATATATATATATATATATATATATATATATATATATATATATATATATATATATATATATATATATATAGTACAATCTGTACAATCTGTACAATCTGTACAAATCTATATATATATATATATTGGTTCACAAATATATATAAGAATGTGGTTTGGTTCACAAAATGCCAAAGGTTGCTCGATATCATATAGATATAGCAGAAATGATCGTCTTACCTCAAAAGGTTGCCACAACAGTCTGTTTCATCCAAGAGGAATCATCAGATATTTAACTACAGGTATACATTTATACAAATCTCTCGGATCTGCACACGCATATAATTTGATTGGTAACTTCACATACAACAAAATTCACATCATTTTTCTTTTTTAAAAAAATTCTGCATGGCTTCATGAATCATGTGTTCCAGATTCGCATAGTTGTTCTATAGAGATGGTTTAGCATGGTTACCTGTAATTCAATGTGGACAGTAGACTGTCAGCAGGTGGCTTTGCTGTTGTGGTTGCCCAGCCAATTGTGTCTCATTTGTGCCTGTATATTGTTTATGACAGTCTCTACGTCTGTAATAAGTTACCTGTAGAAATGTATTTGTATGTAGGCAAATTTTAAGAAAAAAATTAATTATATGAAATAAAAGAAACCAAACATTAGACATATTGTACTATTCAAGCTAGTACCTTATGTTAGTTAAATATATGATATCCTTTTCTTAAGCGTATTCTATATCATGCATATATAGAAGACGTGAGCAGTTTTAATGTAAAACCAAGGTATCTATCCTGGATTCCGTGGATTGGCCCTCACATGCACCATAAAGGAGGATGCAGTGTTAAGCATGGAGTACAGAAAATGCCATCATATTACCGCACAAAACATAACGGATCCACAAAAATCTACCAAGGAAGAGGACCTCTTGGATATGATGAACTTTGTCCAGGTAATAGTAAGTTTAAGAAAGCGACGATTTTTTCAACACGGACGTCATTGTTAGACGACATTTTGCATCATCTTAGCACTCGTCGTGTAAGGAAGCAAAAAACTTTAGAATCTTATGTTTTGTCATTTGTGTTCAAGATTACTATGGTGAACTGACACAAACACAGTTTTTAATCCAGTCACCCCCAACCCCTCCCCCCAACGGCAATCATGACGTCTGTCGTGACCAAAACGTCGCAGACTTACTGGAAGTAATAATAAACTGAATGGTCAATGGCCTCTTTTCCTTAACAAAGTAAAAGTCTATGAACTTTCTCAATTTACATGGCATTCATAATCCGGATAAGACTGCATGCTCGTGTCTTTGATATAGGTATAAATGTGTAACAGAAGCTTTGTGGACAGATGGGTGCCAAACAGAACTCTCGACTAACAAAACACTAAGCTGTGGAATACCATAGGAAGAATTTGAACGTGCCGAAGATATGAGGTGCATCAGGTGAATAATAGTTTTGAAGCTCCTTGACTGCTTGAGTCTTCCTCATTTAACAACGATCGAAGTCACACGATTCTCTTTATTAAACAACACTGTCTTTCATGAAAGCGAAGTAAAAGTATTGTAAGCAAAAAAAGGATAATATCACTATGTTAGCTCACTAGAAGACAGTCTTCTTGCAAGAAAAACAGATAAAACATGACTCCGGCAACAACTCTATTTAGAACTTTCAACTATCGTTACCTTTTTAATTTTACATTTTTCTAGGAGGATGGGTGTCCGAAACCTGCCCTCATAATAGGATTTACGCCATTTAAGTTTGTTCTAAGAAGCGAAGGTTCACGAGATTACTGTTATTTACTGCGATCGTTGAAGTTACCGCCGACAATAAATGTGTCTGATATTCCAAATCGTCTGGCAACATTTTCGAACCGAGTAACGCCTAACTTCTTTGCTCCAAATGATGGGCAGTTGTTTTCTTCAGCACCAGAAAATGTCACAATGGTAAGTGAAAGGGAAAATTCAAAAACAACTAGAATGCATGGGCTTATGTTTCGGCAAACACAGCTATTGACCAAAATGTTCACCCTGGAATAACAGAGCGATACTCCCTCTACGATCAAGAATGGAATCGTTAACCGCAGGCCTTGGGTTCATCATATTCAAGAAGTGCGTGATTTCTCTTATTAAAGAACTGATGCAGCTGTTCGTCTGACTCGCTAAGATTACCAACAATGCGTAACATGTTCTCGTACGAAAACATATCTGCCGAAAGGAGTGAATTATTTAAGTCCCTGAATGGAGATCTATTTTTCGACATGAAACTCTGGCCCGTGTGGATAAAGCCTTTGTTCTGGAAAAAGCCATTGGGCGACGAAGGCTCATTTAAATTGTTGTGTATCTTCACTGGCAATGGTTGTTCCCCAATCGTTACTGCGAAGTGGATATTAACTTCTCAATTTTGGCATTCCCAAAACATCGTAAAGACCAAATTAGAAAAGAGAACAATGCAAATGAACAGTTTTTTTGCTCATCTTCCGAATAGAGAACATGAATGGTTTTATGTTGATATGTATCATAACTTGTATTTACACATGAAGGGTAATAAATGCATTTGTCAGAATTCAAATAAATAAGTATATAATTGTTAATGGTTTGTTGTAATCCTATTTTGGCTTTCATCTCTTTTTTAACGCGAAGATCCCTTTTTTGGCGTGATATCTATTATCGTCGAGAAAAATATCATAATGCGAATGCAGAGCATTTTGTAAATTTGAGTAAAATAAAATTATTATTCATGCAGTTCTAAACTAAAACGCTGTGAATTTAATCGTAATTGTTGAAATAAACTGCATGCTAATTCCAACGGCAACGACATTCCCGAATATCGATAGAATTACTATAATACAATCAAACATTATATGCGATCGCCTAAATACTGTTTCCTGGCTGTAATATGAAACGAAATAAACATTGTTTATAAAATGCATATGCACGGATACCTCATGCAGTTTTGTTTCAAGCCGCGTGTTTGCACGGGCCAAATCAAGGTATAATTGCACTGTTTTTATTGTTACACTTGCCTCTTAGAACACGCATTAGTGGAGGCAGATTGTCTTGTGCATGTAAGCAAGGCCGAGCTTCGCAGTGTAAACACTAGTCTTGGTTCAAGTCCGTCTCTCATGGGGTTGAAAATAGCGATGCACGCGAGCGGTCAAAAAAGGCGCGAAAATATGAGAGAAAAGTAGGGAGAGACTAACCTGGGGCCGATTGTATAAAAAAGTGATTAAAGTTAACTATAGTTAGTGGAAACGTCATCCAATAAAAAGCGCGTATTTGAGAGTTAATCACTATTTAACTACAAAATAGTGATTAAAAAAGTGATTAAGAGTTTTATACAACGGCCCCTGGTTATTTCAGCAGCGAACGAAAAAGAGTTAACTACTTTTTAAGTGCAGTTAGCGCTAACTACGTTTTTATACAACCGGCCCCTGAAGTTCAGCCCTAATTTGAAATAGGGCCTGACACAAAACCTGTCTGGACCGTGGGACGCACATGCACATGTTATTTTTATACACAACATGCAATATGATTGACAAGTGTTGTAGATTTCGTTACACAAAAAATTTATATTCTCATGAATTAACATGTCAGCAGAGTGTGCATTAAACTTAAAAATTCAAGGTACTTTTATATAATTAAGAGTTAGTTTCTCCATTTAACCGAACAGCAAACAAAGATTTAATTAGTCAGTTCTGTGCACGGCTTGACTGCCAAGCTTTCTCAAGGTCTCAACTTGCTGGACGCGGATATACTCTAACGACTAACGGGCTAACAACAGCAACAATGAAATTCTCAATCGTACCACGAAGAAGGCGATGTAGCTCAGAAAACAACGCTGGTAGGACCTGATATTAAAAATAAGACTGTTGCCGGCGAAGCCAGTTGGCAGAACATCTTGGCTGTCAACAACAAGCTTTCGAATACATTGTTGCACTTTTCTGTCTTACACCGCAAGACAGTTGCGCTTCGTGGGGACTGTATACTATCAGAACAATACCATCGGAAATAGAACACACACGCGTACTTTAAAACATATTTATTTAAACTATTCAAACGATAAAATATATATACATAACAATCCTTCTGGTTTTCTCTCGTGCTTTCAGTCTGACAATCAATTCGAAGTCTATTATTTATGACATACGATACATTTCTTACGTCAAACGACTAAATCAACTATTGTTCGTTGTCCTACGGCGTTATCAATAGTATAGTATTACAAATTATTCTACATACATGACTAGTTTGGCTGTTCTTTGAGCGTCGTGTGTCCAAAATTCGTGTGTCCAAAAGCCTTTTCAAAATACTGTTTGTTTGATTTATTTTCTGCCATAAAGCATAAAAGAAAAGAAATTCGAAGAAATCGATAATGGAATTTGTTACGTGCGTACTTTTGACCTTTATATTAATTGTCGCCTAGAGCCTTGACCGAGCTATTTTTAAAACTGTTGTTTATGTGAACTTGCAACCAATCAAAATCCTTCATGATGCTGATCAACCAATCAGATTTCCCGTCCACCAAATGGACGGGAATCCCACAGTTTAGATAGGTTTTGTGTCAGGCCCTATTCTGTGATTAGGGCCTGAACTTCAGGTTAGGGAGAGACGGACTTGGATACCCTGCAAGCGCGCCAAATTTTACCGTTGGATTTTTCCTACGGAGCGTGGCTTGCGAGTTGAGAACAACAACAAATTTTCGCGCAAATTTTTGCAAGTAACATTCGAAATGCTGCAAATGTCCCAAGTCCGTCTCTCCCTACTTTTTTCCTGAGACAGACTTGAACCAAGTCTATGTAAACACAATATCTATTACTGTATTAGTTTTCACCATATATAGGCATATACCCTGTAGGCATAGTGAATTCCCTGGCACATAAAATCACGCAAGTTAAGCGACAATTAGAAACAAACTTGTCAGTGCATGACATACAGTACTTACTACTTAGAATATTAAATTGAAATGTAAATTAGTAATTGTAGAGCGTAGTCTTAATAACTTCAGCGTTTCGAGCTTTGAAGAAAGGGGTAGATGTAGAATTTCCATAAACTGACACATATATACTTCTTCCCGTTGTGTAATTGAATGAATCGTGTTGAGTAAAGAACGAGGGAAACGTATTAATTCGGACTCTCACAAATCAGGTTAAGTTATTTCAAAGAACCAGAACATTTATACACTTCTATACACAGTATATATATACGCGTGTTTCATACACATTGTTAGATCCACTTCTTCGTTGTTATTTCAAAGAACGAGGGAAACACATTGATTAACTATCGTCTCTTACACGAAGCACATTCCGAATACAATCATGTTGCACAAAGCACGCAAATTGTTTTAAAGAACGACGGAAAGATGATGTAAAAGATCTAGGCGTTTTTCATGAACATTGTTAGACACATTTCTATTAGCTGTATACGTTGTTATTCTAAAGAACGAGGGAAACACATTGATTAACTATCGCCTCTCGCACAAAGCACATTCGGTCGAACACAATCGTGTTGCACAAAGCACGGTAAATTATTTTAAAGAACGACGGAAAGATGATGTTATAGTTAAAGAGTCCTGGTCAACCACAATGCAATGCGCGCTTTTGTTTACGTTTTCCCGTTACTTTTATCAATTGTTGCCGCCATTTTCGAGGCCACACAAAATGGCTGCCTTTGTCCCACAACGTAACAGAAACGTAAACAAACGCACGCGTTGCATTGTGGTTGACCAGGACTCTTTAAAGACTAGACGTTTGCATGTTCAGAGGTCAGAAAGCTTCTTAGGTGTAAAACATCAACTTATTCGATTTTAACGAATGTAACCATTCGAACGAATATGAGAGACTTCACGAATCGAACGAATTGTACGAATATTATAGTAGACCTCGATACAGGTGATGACGTCATCAGTAAGTCAAATCTAACCATTCAAACGGATATATGGGAGAGTTCACGAATCGAACGGTTCGTACGAATGGTGCGAATAGACTAGACCTCTGTATATGTGATGACGTCATCAGTAAGTTGAATAATGATCAGATTACCACGAATAACTTAAACAGAGGGTAAATTAACTTTTTTACCATTCGAACGAAACCTAGCGGTGTTCACGGATCGTTAAGAATCGAGAGTATTGGACAAGATTGGTATAATATAGATATTATACTACATGACCGCCCTGAAAAACACTGAGTGAGCTTAGCATGACCGCCCTGAAAAACGGTGAGTGGAGCTTCCTGAATAAATATTATTATTATAATTTGTGGACCCGAGACCGCCGTTGTTGATTATTATTGGGCAAATGGCATTGGATGAGTTGGACAGATTGACGATCAATTACGAAAGATAGAGCCATACTAGGTGACAACTTCTTAGACACACATTCGAACGTCTGACATTTTTATTATTATAATTATAATGTCATATTTCTGTTATGTACTATTTAATAAACGACCAGGATGTGTTTTATTAGGTTTAAAGCGCGAGTGGCTTTAACACGTCTAATAAAACACTTCTTGCGAGTTTGTTAAACGGTTTCGAACACGACTACAAATTCAATAGATATACTGCCTATTAGTATTCTTTATATAAAGAATACGAATGAGGACACGACTTTACAACAGATACTGCCTTACTAGTATTCTTTATATAAAGAGTACTAATTAGGAGTGTTTTATCAGGTTAAAAGCCACTGCACAAGTGACATAATCTGGTTGACATGATTTGCCAATAAGCTTATCAATTATTAATGAGTGTTTGAATAATGGGATATGATTGTGTATACAATCCTGGTCAAAAATCCTTGGCGCACTTAGTCGAAATAGCATAACCTTTACTTCATTTCTGATTACCATATACATACTTGCCTATTTTATACACAATATCATGCTCAGACACCCCTCTATCCCCCTAATCAATGTTGTGTAACACCTTGGCATGACATTTTCTCGCGATCTCCCTATTCTATGATAAAGTACAAAGCCCTTGTCTTTGCTGTGATTTTTCTTGTGTAAACCATTCTTAAATTAATCCAATTATCGAAATGCATATTATTCAATTTTATTTTGTAGCCAGCCTCATTTTATATACACGGGATTATCATGATTCATAGTAACACCCCACACATATGACGTCATAATTATCAACATTACGACGCGCACGCTAGGTTTGCAATATAACTCCTAACGAAATCATCTAGAGCACGCCACCCAATATACGTAGAAAACACGTAAATAATGCTTCGGTACATTTTGAGTCAAAATTATATATGTACATAAATTTTAGTTTCATTTTTATATTCGGACAATCCTGGTCAAAAATGTTGGTGCACTTCACACTGACTGTGCGAAATTTGACTCCCACATCAATAACAAGCATAGCAACCCCCCTCCCTTTCCCCCGTTCAATGTTGTGTGTAGTGTGTTACACGTCCAAGGTGTTACACAACATTGATAAGGGGAAAGGGGGTGTTTGGAAATGAAATTTTGCATAAAATGGCAAGTATGTATATGGTAATCAGAAACGAAGTAAAGGTTATGCTATTCGATTAAGTGCACCTACATTTTTGACCAGGATTCAATCCTGGTCAAAAATCTTTGGCGCACTTAGTGGAAATAGCATAACCTTTACTTTATTTCTGATTACCATATACATATTTGCCTATTTTATACACAATTTCATGTTCAGACACCCCCTATCCCCCTAATCAATGTTGTGTAACAGCTTGGACGTCTAATCACTGAGCTATACTATATTACTGGAGGACGTGCTCGGGATAAAAAAATGAAGCCAAAAACATGGCGGATTTTCACGCCATTTCCATGGCAACTGGTTCCTTTTGGCCATGAAAATACCACTGACCAGGCTCATTTCTGAGCCCACTACAGTTTTCACCCCCCCTGGTTTTTTCAAAAATATTCAAAGGTTTTTCGAGTTTTTGCAGTGAATTCTCGTTGTTTTTGATATTTTTACATATTTTTCGACCTGCGACCATCTATTCAAAGAAGTACAAGTCGTAAACGTCCGGGAAAGACAACAAACGCCTTGCAAAATGTTGGCAAAGACGATATTTGAAGCAAGAGGCGCAGCTATTACATTACAGCCAGGTAAAAATACTATTGTAAAACAATATAATATGCATTTATTTTTTAGCATGAGAAGCTTTGTACAATATAGTGAATATTTTAGTCACGATTATTTAAGTCTTGTCGCACAAATGTAGAGATATTTCACCACACTTCCTCCCACAAACCAACAAACGCAAAGGGTTCAAATTTGCCGAGTATAAACTTTTATTTGTATCAAAGGAAGAGTATAAACTGAGTATAAACTTTTATTTATCTGGCAGATTTGCTGAATATAAACTTTTATTTACAGGTGTGAAGACATGCATGAAACTACTATGTGCTACTATCTTTAAAAGAGGGATCTAGGGTGTCAAAGAAATCGGTGTTTTGTCAAGAAACTTTAACATCTGAAATGTCATATAAAGCTGAGGCCTCTTTTCCATTCATTGCAAGAGCAACATAACCTTTGCTAGGTTTTCAACCAATCGTCATTCTCCCCCACTTTACATGGAAGCATGGAATCATTCACAGTGAACTTGATTTTGGTGATAAGTTGAAAGTGGCATGAGGGTGCTGAAAGGGTGCCGGGAGAAGCCGACATGGTGCTGTGGGCACTTGACCTGGTAACACAATTTTTACCTAGGTTTCTGGGCAATGGTGTGTTGGCTTGATAATTTCCGTTCTTGATTATTGTGTGCCAGTGTGCAGTTGATAGTAAATAAGATAGTTTGTAGGGGTCCACTCACCATTGGATCTCAGTTTAGGTTAAAACCTGGAAAATATATGCCAGGCAGATTATAAATTGTACTATATATAAATTGTATTATATAGGAATGGCTATAAATATGGCTATAAATTGTCTAATAAAATCACTTCCAGCTCTGGCTGAAATTTTTGTTCATTTACTGGTCAACTGAACTCTGGTCCAAACTTGAATTAAACATGTTGGTTCTTGTCTCAGCAACTGAGATACTCCCATATCAGATGCTCCCATATAAAATTTGCAGGCTTGAGTGTACAATGTACATAGCCATTTGAAAAAATGAGAATCAATGTGTACATTTTGAACAAAGACTTATCTAAATCCAGATAGTTGCATCATACATCAAAACCTGCAATAAAGCTTTGAGTTTGCTACTGTAATCTCCCTGTTAAACCTCACCCCCCCCCCACTCTAATACCCCACCCCCCACAATATAGATGAAAAAATTGTTGAGCCCCCTCTCTATTAAACATTCTTTATTAAGACATCATTTATCACACAAAAAGACATGTTTTGGTGAGATTTATTTATTTTCTGGCTAACACAAAACACAATTGTATTGTGCTTGCAGGGCCGTGCCAACCGATACATCTTTGGTTGGGTGAATACAGAACTTTGGGCCCCTTCGCATGTTCGCAAAATTTTGGCGAGGGGGTAATTGTTTCTTTTCCCAAACCATTGTTTGCAAAAAAGGTTAATTAAAATTTTTTTCAGCGTAACCTTTATAGAATTGGCCACAATTTTGCACAACATTCCCAAAAAATTCACATGTTTGGCAATTCCAGCATTTGGGCATTTTATTATTATTTATATCAACTTCTTTATTTATGGAGGGTAGACACATAACAGTAAAAACTGGCAAACCAGTGGCCCTCCAAAAATTGGGAGACACATTTCAAAAGATTGGACCCAGGGATGTTAGACCCCCCAGTCAATCCAGCCCTGTGTGCTTGAAATAAATTAACATTAATTCATGGATAAATAGATACCCTCCCTCCTTTACCCTACATTACACCCAGGGGTTTTCACTATTTTGTTTATACCTTCTTAAAAGAATAATTATAAATCAGCAAGAAAAAGTTTTACAAACTATATAATATTATACAACCATACTTATTATAACTGTAAGCAGTCATATTGTATTTAAAAACACCACTGACAATACATGATTCTCTGTTTATCACAGTCTGATAGCAGTGATAAAATGAAGTTATCTTTCCAGTTCAGGGCAGGAATTCTGGCCAGGGCCCTTACTTTTGTAAGTTGGACAATATTTAATTTTAACATATGGTGCACCACTACATGTCTGATGTCTACAACACCACTCTTGCTATTTGAACATTTAAGACCTCAGGTGGCTTTCTTCTTCACATTTCAGTATCAGCACCTAGATAAGAAAAATCCGGCATATTCACAATTTTACAGTAGCAAATGGCATGTATTGGGTCATTCCAGCTAAATCGAAGATCGATATTAACTAACTACAAATATGTTGAGTGGCAGCACCTTCCCCGTGACGAGTAAAATTGTCCAGCGTTAGACAGAGTAAAATAATAATGTAGGGTGCATCTGGGCACATTGCCACTTGAAGGGTTAATAATACAATGTGGGTAGTGCTACAAATCATAAAACTCATGTTTAACCCAGTAAGTCGCATTGTGTCCTGATGCACCCTACTTTATTATTTCACTCTGTCAAACCAGGTTATTTTACTCATCAAGGGGAGAGTGCTGGCCCTCAATGGATTAATCAGGCTATCTGCTCATGTGTCTATAGTTAAACGTTCTGGCCCTCAATGGGTTAAATAAATTAAATATAAACTGCTTGATGCTGAACTAGCTTTTGGAGAGTGCTGGAAAGGTTGGCTGTGCACTCACACCCTACATGTCCTGTATAAAATACAAAGCTACACAGTAGATAGCTGTTATTTCAAAAACCTGGCAAACTAGCACTTAAAAACCTAAATCAATAAACAATTTTAAAAACAAAACACAAACCGAAGCACCATGAAACCCAAGAAATGAGTTTAATAAAACAAGACAGGAAAGAGTTTGTCCAGGAAAACTTGCTTAAAACTACAATGTCAATGTAGAAATGAAAAAACTGCTGTAACTAGTAATACTCGCAGTTTTAATATAGCATCAGACAGGTTTTGAGATATCCACGAGTGTTAAAAATATATGGCAACGTTGCCAAGCGAGCAAGTAAAAAAATCGTGAATCTTACCGGTAATATTCTCCTTTTAGAGCCATAACAGGCACAGCAAAAATGCACCGTCTTCCCTGACTTTGTAAAACAGACAAAATTGATGAAAAATATCAAGATATTCAGTTCAAAGACAAACTAAACCAAAATATTTCATATTTGTGAAAAAAACCAGGGGGGTGAAAGATATTGTTTAAAGCGTAGGATCGCGGTTGGTCAGTGGTAATTACCATGAGAAATAAGAACCAGTAGTCATGGTAATGGCGTAAGATCCGCCATGTTTTTGGCTTCACTTGAATGACTGGCGGAAAGATAGGAGCAGCTCCTCCAGTAATATAGTATAGCTCAGTGCGTCTAATACATTGAACGGGAAAGGGGGGATTTCTATGCTTGTTATTGAAGTGGGAGTCAAATTTCGCACTGTCAGTGTCATGTGCGCCAACATTTTTTACCAGGATTGATGTAGGTTTATGCCAAAACAGGATAAATTGTGTGATTCGTAGATTTCGGTTTTAAAGCGATTCACCAGTAACAGGCGAAGGAGACATTGTAAACAACACTGTTATGAGCGAATCTATATATATATTTCACAGTTATAGCACAGAACATATAAACTTGACAAAAATTATCAATATCCACCAAGGCAAGGAAGCGAAGGACTTCCTAATTTACACAATGTGCACAAGAATGTCATCCTTACAAGATAGAAACACATAGTTCGTACATAAAAAAAAGTTTCTCGAAACGTCCAGGTTAATCTTAAGCTATCATAGAAAA